ACTACAAACATTCCCCTTCCAGAGCCTGCTCTGATCCACACCAAATTCCAACTGATCCCCACATCAGCCCCAATTCCAATGGATCCAGACATCAGCCTGAATTCCAACTCCTTGCACATCAGCAATCAAGGAAAAAAAAGAGCTGGTTCTTTCCTCCAGGAGCTGCAAAGGCTTTGCCTCCCTTTTCCCAGTGGGAAAATTGAGGCAGGAGGCAGGAATGTGCTCCCTCATCCCAGATCCTTGGGATGATCCTGCCAGCCTGGAGAAATCCAAGGATTGAGGGAGTGGGGAAGGATTCGCTCGGAATGGTGAATTCTCCCCACTCCCAACCACGGCGTCCCTGCCTTTGGGGTTCACCCTTCCCCAAATTTATGGCAATTCCCCAAAATAACGTGTCGGGGGCTCGAGGTGGGGTGTTGGAAATGCCATTCCCAGCCAGCCTTTCCCGGCTCTCCCGTTGCTCCTCCCGCATTTTTAAGCAATGCTGCCATCGAGTGGTCCGGGAGCATCGGCGAGAGCGCTCGGGCCCCCCGCGTGGACCCCTCCGTGGTCACCCACGGCTGGAAACGCAGAACCGGGATATATTCCCGGCTGGAATGCGCCTCCTTCGCCCATGCCCGTGTTGGAGCGCTCAGTTTACCCTCAGCGAGCCCCACGATGTCGGGAATTAAAGGTTTTCCGCCCCTTCCCCGCGCTCAGCTCCGCAATTCCCACCCCAGTTCCTTCCTTCCCGGTTTCCCGGGAGCCGCGGCTTTACCTGCGGGCGGTTTGTCTTGGAGCAGCTCGGGAGGGAAGGCGGGATTTGGGAGCATCCTGAAGCGAAGCGCAGGGCCGAGCTCGGCTTTGCTGGGCTCGATGTTCCTCCTCGTTGCATCAGCGGATCCCGAGGGAGAGGCGGCTTTTCCTGGCAACGGCAACGCGGATTGTTGTGGTTTTGCCCGCAATAAAACTCAAATAAATAATAATAAAAATAAACCACCGGAGGAGCATCTTAAACCCCCCGCCCCGTCTGGCGGGTTTAAACCCGGCCTGCGGGAAGCTGCAAAGCCCCGCTTGCAGCTCGATGAGATCCCAAATTCTCGGCGAAAAGGAGGTTTTAGGGGAGGAGGTTCCACCAGCCCTTTAATTGCCGTGTTTGCTTCGTGAGGGAAAGGGGCACTAAAATTAAAATGTCCTGCTTGCAGGGGAAGGAAACAGGTTGTGCTGGAGTGGGAAGAGCTTTTCCTTCTCTGGGAATTCAGTTATTTGTTTTGTTCACCGGGGCTGCAAAACACTCACGGACCACGATTGCTTGGAGAGATCTCATGGCTGGGGTACTGGAAAGCTTTATAATATATAAATATATAATACAAAAATATAGCATAGAAAATATATAAGGATTTCTCCCGATGACTTTTGAGAGTGCATTTGGCCCAGACCCCCCTCATAATATATTCATATATATAATTTTATAAGCTGTGTAATATATTATACTTTAATATATATAATTTATATATAATGTTATAAGTGTTAGGATATATTAATATACTATACCTAAATTTATATAATATAAAATAAATATAGATATATTTCTATAATATAAAATAGAAGAAATAATATAAAATATATAAGCTTTGCTATTATCAGGATGTTTAAATTCCCAGTGACTTCTGAGAGCTTTTTTTGGCCCAGACCTCCCCGAGTCCCCCAGAAAAGTCACAAAGCACGGGAAGCTTTGGAAGGCAAAGGGGTTGGACGGGGATGAGGAGGAATGAAAATGGGGGGCGAGGGGGGTCGGGGAAGCTGGAATAGCCCCTTCCCCCGGGAGGGTGGGAGTGGAGAGGGGACAAGAGCTCCGGGGGAGGGGACCAGGGGAGGGCTGTGCCAGTGCCGACCCTGCCCACCTCTCTCTGGCACCGCCCGCCCCGGTTATAAAAGGCCCGGTCGTGCCTCCGCCACCGCAGTCGATTCGCGGCGATCCGAGACTGCTCCGCTCCTGGACCGGCTGCGTCCCGATCCACGGGGGAACCGCATCCTCAGCCGCGGGAATCCGTATCCTGAACCGGCTGCATCCCGAAACGAGGGGGATCCGCATCCAGAACAGGCTGCATCCCGATCCACGGAGAATCTGCATCCCGAAAGGAGGAGGGTCCCTATCCCGAACAGGCTGCATCCCGCACCGAGGGGAACCCGCATCCCACGCCGGTCCCGAGCCAGAAGGCACTTACATCCCGCATCCTGCTCCGCTCCTGAACCGGGGGGACCCGAATCCTGAACCGGCTGCATCCCAGACCGAGGGGAACCCGCACCCTGCTCCGGTCCGGAGCCGCAAGGTACCTGCATCCAGAACCCCGGGCAGGTCCTGAACGGGCAGGAACCCCCCTCGTGCTCTGGTTCTGAACCGGGAGGGACCCTCTCCTTGCTCCGGTGGGAGAGACCGCGATCCCTGAATGCCCTGAATCGGGAGGGATCGGCACCCCGGTGAAGCTGCAGCCGAGCCCGGGGGGACCAGCACCCCAAACCAGCTGTGCCCGAATTGGGGGGGACTCGCACCAAAAACCAGTGAAGCCCCGACATGGCCGGGCACCCCGTCCCAGCTGCACCTGGAGGCAGGAGGGTGCACCCAAAAGGGGCTGCACCCTGAGCCAGAAAGGACCTGTGCCCTGGACCAGCCCTGCACCCCAAACTGGCTGCACCCTGAACCAGGAGGGACCTGCACTCCAGACCAGGTGTCTGCCCCAAATTTGTTGGCCCCTGATCCTGCTGTGCCCTAAACCAGGAGGGAACTGCACCCCACAGCATCTCTGCACTGTAAACTGGGAGGGATCTGCACCCCAAAATATCTGTGTGCCCTGAACCAGGAGGGATCTGCACCCCAAAACATCTGTGTGCCCTGAACCAGGAGGGATCTGCACCCCAAAACATTTGTGTGCCCTGAACCAGGAGGGATCTGCACCCCAAAACATTTGTGTGCCCTGAACCAGGAAGAACCTGCACCCCAATCCTGCTGTGCCCTAACCCAGGAGGGAGCTACACCCCAAAGCATCCCTGTGCCCCAAACCAGGAGGGAGCTGCACCCCAATCCTGCTGTGCCCTAACCCAGGAGGGACCTGCCCCCCACACCACCCGTGTGCCGGGTCCGGCTCTGTGGGGCCACGATGGACGACGCTCTGCCCGTGGAAGCGGAGCTGGAGCAGCAGTGGTTGTCCAACAGCTCCCTGAACGAGTCCCTGTCCAACCAGTTCGTGCAGCCCCCGTGGCAGGTGGCCCTGTGGGCCGTGGCCTACGCCCTGATCGTGGTGGTGGCGGTGGTGGGGAACGTGGTGGTGATGTGGATCATCCTGGCCCACAAGCGCATGAGGACGGTCACCAACTACTTCCTGGTGAACCTGGCGTTTGCCGAGGCCTCCATGGCTGCCTTCAACACCGTGGTGAACTTCACCTACGCCATCCACAACGAGTGGTACTACGGGCTCTTCTACTGCCGCTTCCACAACTTCTTCCCCATCGCCGCCGTCTTCGCCAGCATCTACTCCATGACGGCCATCGCCCTGGACAGGTGGGTGGGGAGGGTCAAACCCCCTCCCCAGAGCCCAGGGGTGCTTTGATGCTCAACCAAGCCAAAGGGCTGGGTCCTGTCCCTTTGGCCACAACAACCCCCACGGGCTGGGGACAGAGTGGGGGGACAGAAAGGGACCTGGGGGGACTGACTGACAGCAGCTGAACGTGAGCCAGGGGTGCCCAGGGGGGCGAGAGGCCGATGGATCCCAGCCTGGCTCAGGAACAGGGTGGCAGCAGGAGCAGGGCAGGGATTGTGCCCCTGGACTGGGCACTGGGGAGGCCTCAGCTCGAGTGCTGTGCCAGCTCTGGGCCCTCAGTTTGGGGAGGATGTTGAGGGGCTGCAGCGT